GGCCAAAAATACGGCTACAACATCAACGAAACAAAAACGCAACTACTCGTCAAGCCTGGCTTTGAGTCCTTGGCTGCCGAGACTTTTGGTGACACAACTATCCACGTCAAGTCTCGTGGCGTACAGTATCTGGGCGCTGCTATCGGGACTGAGGCATTCCTCGGAGAATTCAAAGAGACAAAAGTAGAAGAGTGGGTGAAACATACAGAGATTTTAGCAAATTATGCCGCATCAGAGCCGCATGCAGCATACTCTGCGTTGACCCATGGCTTAGTCAACAGATGGAACTATGTGTTTCGAACTATGGCTGTTTCTGCGGAGGACTTGGCGCCGTTGGAGCGGGAGCTTCACTCCTCACTTCTACCGGAGCTCGTGGGACAACCGAGCGTGCCTCTGAAAGACATTGATATTCTAAAGCTCCCGACACGGGATGGTGGGATGGCCCTTCCGGACCTCACGACTCGACCACGGTTTGAGCACCAGGGCTCCAAGCAAGTGTCCGGACCTATGGTGAAGGAGGTTCTGGGCGATTTCGCTAAGGATAGCGATCCAATTTCTCTCGCTGGAGATGTGCCGGCTTCTGCAGATACTGCTGACCGTGGTGGAGCGTCTCCCACTCCCACGATGACGGCAACGGAGGTGCAGCCGCGGGAGGTCGCTGGCAACTCAAACCCTGGACCGGGTGTGGCTGCTGATGTTGCTGGTGCTGGTACCCCCTTTCAGAGGATGATCGATGAAATGCGTCACAAAAAGCGTGTCGTCCACACCGAAAACCGGGAGCGCGCAAAGGCAGCCAGGAACAAAATAGTGGACACGAGCGATGAGATGACGAAGCGACGAATAGAAGAACACACGGAGAAAGGATCATCCTCATGGCTGAGCGTGCTGCCCCTGGCGGAGCATGGCTTTCGTCTCACCAAGCGTGACTTCCGGGATGCTCTGGCATTGAGATATGCATGGCCGCTAGCCAATGCACCAGCAACCTGTGTGTGTGGTGAGCTGTTCTCAGTTGAGCATCAGCTATGTTGCGCCAGGGGCGGCTTCCCGACACTTCGTCATAACGAGATACGTGACCTGCTGGCGAGGGAATTGACTGAAGTCTGCACTGCCGTTTCGACAGAACCAGCGCTGCAACCTCTTTCTGGTGAGAGGTTTCCTCTTCGGTCAACGAACCGCCGAGAGGATGCGCGCCTGGACATAGCCGCTCGAGGGTTTTGGACCCGTGGGGAGGAAGCTTTTTTTGATGTAAGGGTATTTTGCCCAGATGCTCCTTCCTACGGGTCCAGAACCCTTCCTGCATTGTACCAGCAGCACGAGCGGCGTAAGTGGAACGAATATGGGCCAAGAGTCACAAATGTAGAAAGAGCCGCTTTCACACCTCTCGTGTTCTCTGTGCATGGTGGTTGTGGGAGGCTGTGCAATGTGTTCCTCAAGAGACTGTGCCAGATGCAGGCCGAGTCATCGGGATCTCACTATTCCCAGGTCATTGGTTTACTCCGCTGTCGGCTGTCTTTTGCTTTGCTGCGTGCTGCTGTGTTGTGCATACGTGGGGCTCGGTCACGGTACCACCATCCGGCGAGATGTTTTCATGATGTCTCGATTGCCGTGGCCGAGTCAGGTCTAGTTTGTTAAGTATCGTGCTGTGTCCTGACTGTGCATGCGGGATTGGTATGGCGCTTACCCTTTTGTTGCTGTTTTGTTGCTTTCATGCATTTAAGCATGTAATTGTGTTCAATTGTTGTATTTCATGGAAAAACGATCTTTGCGTTGGATTCATTTAAACTATTATTTGTGTAGGGTTCCACTCCTTCATCTTGGGAAATTGTGTTTTGTTTGCCCAAAGAAGTGGCTTCATCATCATCAAAAAAAAAAAAAAAAAAAAAAAAAAAAAAAAATCATCATCATCATCATCATCATCATCATCATCATCATCATCATCATCATCATCATCATCATTTTTTCCGCTGTGTTGTGTGTCAGGGGTGCTCGGTCGGCCCGTCATCGTCCAGTTCACATGCTTCGTGAGTTGGCGATGGTGGAGGGTCGGGTTCCCCTGCAGTGATTGGTGCTGCGCCGAGCTAGTTTGGTGTGAAAGTGTAACTAATGTTATTATTCTTATATATATACATCAAGTAGTACTAAATAATTGAGAGGCTTTGAATCGTTTTTATCCAAATCAAAATATTTGCCGGGTTGGAAGGTGGGATCAAAAAAAAAAAAAAAAAAAAAAAAAAAAAAAATCATCATCATCATCATCATCATCATCATCATCATCATCATCATGTGACCAAGCCGCTTTTATGGGCAACAATATTATGAATATAAAACGCAAGGTATTGTAAGAGCAATTTTCTGAAAATAATGTTAAAACACGACATATAAAATGCATTATCACACCGTAGCCACTGTTATGGGCAAATTCCAATACAAGGCAATAAGAAAGCGAGGATGAAGTTAACCTTTTAACCCAAAGAAAAGACAAAAGATGTCAACAATAGAACTACAAATATAAAAAACAAACATCAGGTCATAAAAACTACTTTAAAACATAACCAAATGACAGGAAAGCGTGGAGAATGAGATTGACTTACAAAACAAAAGTAGTCCTACTATGCTTACAAAACAGAATCTACCTACACCACTAAGGAAGAAACATTAAATGATTGCAGTCTCACAAACACCGGCCTCTATCTAACGAAGCATCAAACAATAACTCCTGAAATTCTTGACTGACTTTTTCTGGTAGGAGCTACGGCAGCCACGAAAACAGGTCACTGCCCAACGGAGTAAAGTGAACGAGAGCAGGCACCGCAATCGACCCATAACCAGCGAGTAGGCCAAGTCACTGTGTTTATGGACATGCTGGGCTGCAAGACACTTGAGAAAGCGATCTGCCTCCCGGCCACACATCCCATTCGTGGCGAAAACCAACGGGGTGAACGTGCCTCGGTCTATATTCACAACACGCGCTCCGTATTCCCGCCTTTTCATGCCTTCATGCTTTTGGAGATGGCGCTGGCCTTCTGGACGCGAAAGCAGGTTTGGCTTTGGGTGAGTCACCCGAACATCAAAAAATCATCATCATCATCATCATCATGCGCTTGCGGGGGTCGGTTTGACTTTTGCGTGCTCCGACTTTGTGGCTGCTCTGGTTGGCGGAGGAGACTTGCGTGGCTACGGGGCTGCGAGGCTGCCGAGCTGCTTAGCTGCTTGGTTGCTGTTTTCATCTTCCATTTCTTTCGTGAGTCGGTGTAGATTGTTTATCTCTCCGCGCTCTCCCTCCGTCCTTCCGTGAGTCGGAACAGATTCTTATCTCTCCGCGCTCTCCTTCCGTCCTTGCGTGAGTCGGTGCAGATTTTTATCTCTCCGCGCTCTCCTTCTGTCCTTGCGTGAGTCGGTGCAGATTTTTATCTCTCCGCGCTCTCCTTCCGACCTTGCGCGAGTCGGTGTCGATTTTTATCTCTCCGTTCTCTCCGCTCCGCTCATCGCTCTGTCACGCTCCATTGCTTGGTAGCCTCCTGGCTTCTCCTTCTTTGGCCGACTCCTGTATCTCTCGGCCGGTATTGGCCGAGTGCTGTGCTCCTTTCTGCTTGGTTCGACTTGGTGTGGCTTGGCTGTGTGCCATTCTAGCCGCTTCACCATTACATGTACTTTGTTCCTATCCTGACTGCACCATACGACATCTCAGATATCTGCCTCGGCTGCCGTTCTCTCGCCGTTCTTCTGCCGTGCCTGTTGTTGCTCCAGCGTCGTGCACCGCTCGGCGCTCGTGCGTGGCGACTTCATACAGTTTGTTACTGACTACCATGGTTCATTGTGGTTGCTCCAATGATACTCGGTTTCTAGACCTGGCGAGTGTTGTTGTGTTCGAGTGGGGAGGCCCGTCATGGTTTGCTGTTCCTGTGCAAAGACTAGAAGGCACAATCTTCCTCAGCCTACTCAAGCTCAACTGATGAGGGGTGAATTCCCCGAAACACTGTGTATTGAGCAGGGAGTGGTGCTTTCTTGCAGGTTTGCCGAGTCGAAGGTTCGATGGACTTCTCGTGTGCTCTGGATGGCATTCGTGAGTCAGTCAAGTGTCAAGTAAAGTCGGCGGAATAGCGCGAGCTCCGGTGTGGGGAGCAAACCTTTCTTACATTGTTATTATTCTTATATATACATCAAGTATTGCTAAATAATTGAGAGGCTTTGAATGGTTTTATCAAAATCAAAATATTTGCCGGGTTGGAAGGTGGGATCAAAAAAAAAAAAAATCATCATCATCATCATCATCATCATCATCATCATCATCATCATCATAAGCCCACAGCCCTAAGGCCGTCGGGGCATCACAGAGCAAGTATGAACAAGCAAGCGCCATAAAAATTGATCGCGTGCAGCAGCTAGCAAGGACTGCACGTCAAGTGCAGTCCATGAAATAATATTATCAAGCCATGACATTCTGGGCCTGCCTCGGCCACGACCTCCAAAGGACATTAATTTAATACTAATCTGAGTAATCGCCTTGCGCTCTCGCTGTCTCGGTTACAATGTATTTCGCCATCCGTGTTTCCGTCGTCACCACTCAAGGTGCTAACACGTAGACAATCCTGATATGCGAAATTGAACTATGCAGCTTACATCGGGTGTGATCCCATGCGTTCATTATTTGCCATATCGCCAGATGCATCTTACCGTAGTTTCTTCACTATTAACTTAAGATTCCTGCACTCGAGTCTTAACATTATTTAGGAGCTTAACTAATCCCTTTATCCTTGTGCCATATCTGCGATTACATAGATTTTGCAGAAAAAAAAGGCTAAGCCTTCCTTGTTTTCCATGGGTTGAAGGGAAGGTGTTCTTCTTCAGACCTTCTTGCTTTGTCTTTTTTGGTTTATCTTTTTACTGTTGCTGTTGATCGACAAAGAACCTTCCTGGCTTGTGGCAAAAACATAATACCGGTATTCTAGGAATGTATCGAGCAATTACGGACATGTGAACATATTTCAGATGGTACGTACCGTAAGTATCTGATGGACGCAATGGCGTTGCGTAGTTGACTAAAGAAAAGAGAAAGAGAAGAAAGAAAAAAATACGTTCAGATGCACAGGACGCACATGGTATAAATATCAGATACCCGCACGGTTCAGAATCAAACCAGACAAACAAACTGGTCCTCACTCTTTGGAAAAGTGAATTCTAATATATCGAGTTCACGTGCTTCTAACCGGGCCGGTCTAAATGTATCGAGCAATTACGGACATGTGAACATATTTCAGATGGTACGTACCGTAAGTCTCTGGTGGACGGAATGACGTTGTGTAGTTGACTAAAGAAAAGAGAAAGAGAAGAAAGAAAAAAATACGTTCAGATGCACAGGACGTACATTAATATCAGATACCCGCACGGTTCAGAATCAAACCAGACATATAAACTGGTCCTCACTCTTTGGAAAAGTGAATTCTAATATATAGAGTTCACGTGCTTCTAACCAGGTCGGTCTAAAACGACGTTACTGATTTTCTACAACTAACATGCTAACAGGTCTAGCATATCTTGGATGCCCACGTCAACAGCCTTCCAATTTGAAAGGTTCAACGTCATAATTATGATTACAAAGAGGGGAAGGTGAGCAACTAAGACAAGCCCGAGCTGAACGTCTAAGCTGTGAAGGATGCTGGCCGATCTTCATGCATATCGATGACGTTATTGGCAAGACCATTGTACAATACGGACCAAACACGATTCAAGGACACAACGCAATATTCCACACAACGTGTGTGGCTCAAAGATGCGAAGATCAACGCCGCCAGTTAGTTGTATAACGTCCGTATCGTCGGTCAGTGTCGTGCAATGTAATCGCATGAGCTGATTGTTTAGTAACTGGTGGTGTTAGTGGACAGTGTAGCGTAACTTGTATTTCCTTGGTCCTTTTTCTTTTCTATGAATTTTAAATTGTGCTGATGGATTGCGTACGAGTCAATGGGAGGTATGCATTTGAAATGGCCGTCACCTTTTTTGCAGGGCAAGTTACTCCATACTTGGCAGTTAGAACCCGTTATAGTACATATATGAGTATGTCCTCACAAAGTTTATGACATTTTATGCAGAGTTGGTATCATGGTGTGTACTGTTGTAGTGGTACTTGCCCCGCAAAACCTAATGGCGGGAAATTGACGCAAAAATGCGCAATACAGGGTAGGCCCAATGTACAAACTAACTCATTGACCAGGATTCACAACGCGTAGGAAAAATGAACACGGAAATCACGGTCCAGGGTGGATGCGAATTGTTTTGGTCATGACTTCGAAGTCTCTTGGAACGTGCCAAGGGATTTCCTTTAGAACAATGCATGAATGATCCAGGATGGATTGGTCTTGATCTTTGCTACGAGCCCAGGATGATGAAAATCCATCAAGATGAACTGAAATGTGTGTATGAATCTTTCAGAAAACGCGCAAACTCCAACACGAGAATCAGTGGGCCGGAAAGCGACTGAATAAGGAGGAAGGGGCTAAAGAATGCAAAAGGCTTTTCAACCTTGCTCCATCTCCAATAAATTCGAGGTTGCAATTCTCCTATGCGCAAACTCCAACACGAGAATCAGTGGGCCGGAAAGCGACTGAATAAGGAGGAAGGGGCTAAAGAATGCAAAAGGCTTTTCAACCTTGCTCCATCTCCAATAAATTCGAGGTTGCAATTCTTCTATGAAAGATTACGGAGTAGATTTTTGAAAATTAGATAAAACATACCGCTGATATTCGTCATCATCGTCTTCTCTCCTTGATCTAAACACACACGAGCAGACCCACATTTGGCCTACAGCGTGTACAAGTCCACAATCACACGGCATTTCGTGCCATTACACCATGCAAAATTATTATTATTATTATTTTTTTTTGTACTATTGTTGAATACGAAAAAGGACGACTGACGACACATTATCCAGACATTACAACGGGAACAGGTAGGTTGGGGAACGACATTTATTATAGACGACGAGACAAGAGACCAAGACGAACGAAACGACTACATTGAAGAGTGAGAAAAGAGAGGAAGAGATCAAGTCTGAACGGCAAGATAAAGGGCCTGGGTAGCTATGGCAAATATGGGCACGCAAGTAGCTACCCAGGCCAACGGAACAAAAGGAGACAAAAGGTGAGTACGCAAGTGCATGCAGGCCAGCTAGAAAAGGTAAGAGAGGAGGTACCTAACATACCACCCCTCCATGAAAAAAAATCCCGCGTCCTCGCGGAGAGAAAAAAAAAGAGAGAAAAAGATTAAAAAAATGACTGAAGGAGAAAACACACACACACACACACAACGCACGGGCCTCACAAAAGTGTGTACTAAAAAATGCACTACAGATCATTACAACCGTCAACGTTCCTGTACTATTTATACTATAGTGTGTACATGTACATTGCCAATAACAACGGGACCAAACGCCCCTTCAAAACATGGCACAAAAGATAACTATTGGAGTTCGACGAGGGACTTGAATTGTATTCTGATTAGGCCTCCGCGGAATATGCTCGTATTTTTACCGATAATTCCTTTGAGCACTGCTCAAAATTTCGACCGATTATTCCCGTAATTCTACCAATAATTCTCACAATAATGCTTTTTTTCTTCCCTTTTTTTGCCACTTGTATGGGCAAAAAAATCATGGTTCGCGTGAAACTCGGCTGGAAGCTTTTTTTCTTTCTTTTTTGAAATACTAGGCGATCAACTTCAGGATCACAAGCTTTTTGGTACAAATCAGGGTGTTATAAATGGAAAAAAAATTGAAAAAAGGGGGGCATTGCTCAAATTTTACCGATTATTCCACAAAATTGCCAATAATTCCCGTTTAAAAATCACACCGATAATTCCCGAAATTATGCCGGCACATTCCGCGGAGGCCTAATTCTGATGACTAGTATTTTGCACGGCTAATAGAGCCTAGTTACACTTTAATATACGACATAAATAAGAGAGCGTGGCTCACCATGATCGGACCCCTAATATGAATGAAAGGCACCCGCGCGCACACACACTACAAAAAAAACGCATACAAAAAAAGAGAGAAAGGTAGCTGACCTGCATGGCTTGAACGAAACGAGGTTGACATAGACGAGACGAGGTTGGCATAGGAGAGACGAGGTTGATAGACGAGACGAGGTTGGAGACGAGACGAGATGGACCTGGACGAGACGACGTTGACATAGACGAGACGAATGGCGGTTGAGGACGACTGGGCATGGGATGATCTCAGTGTCGTGGGTCGATCAATAATCGGGCGCCAATGTTGAATCGGGAAAAGGACGACTGACGACACATTATCCAGACATTACAACGGGAACAGGTAGGTTGGGGAACGACATTTATTATAGACGACGAGACAAGAGACCAAGACGAACGAAACGACTACATTGAAGAGTGAGAAAAGAGAGGAAGAGATCAAGTCTGAACGGCAAGATAAAGGGCCTGGGTAGCTATGGCAAATATGGGCGCGCAAGTAGCTACCCAGGCCAACGGAACAAAAGGAGACAAAAGGTGAGTACGCAAGTGCATGCAGGCCAGCTAGAAAAGGTACGGGAGGAGGCACCTAACACTATGTTCACATAACCAGCTCGAAAAGGATAAGGAAAGACAATGGTACTGAGACTAGGACAAACGTGACAACTAATGAGCAGGCGCTGCACCGAGATGCAGCAGTGATGGCGGGGCATTGATGACTCTGCCGACCTGAGGTCTCGGCGTCACGGCCAAAAACACGCACCAAAAACAATGAAAAAAAGAAGAAGATAGAGCTGTACAGGTAAGAAAGATGCAAAACCCAAGGCTTAACACGAGCGATTGTGGGGGAGAAACTGTCTTAGCGTCATACTATTCATAGGGAATCGACTGCCCAGGGCCAGTTTGTGCTGCGAAGATGGCGGTAAACATTCGTTTTGAATGATTGCATTCTCTTGCTGTGGGGAGGCTGGGATAGGAGAGCGGCAGGGAGGGAGTTCCAATCGCTGATGCTGCAGTGTGGGAACGAGCGCTTCACTGCCAGCGGGGCAGATGCAGGCAGCTGGTGTTGGAGCTGGTGGTCATGGCCACTGACAGCACCGTGCTCGCTGCGAGTTCTGAGGTTGGTAGAGATGATGTGGCGCGGTGGCAACACAGAGAGCAGCTGCGGAGGACCAGGCAAGTAGTGCAGCTTGCACAGGCAGGCAAGCGAGGCAACAGTGCGGCGGATAGCCAGGCTGGGTAGGTGTGCCCCAGGGCCGATAGCATGAAGCGCGCGGCGCTGAACATTGTTCAGACGCTAGAGGTGACTCTGCTCAGCTCCCATCCATACAAGAGTCGCATACTCCATGACTGGTTGTACGAACGCCTTGTATACGGTCGTCCGGCCGGCGGGGGTTAGTATGTGGGCGGCTCTGTTTAGGACCCTAAGCCGTTGGCGTGCACGGGTGGCTACGGAGCGTAGATGATCGCTGAAGGTCAACTTGGCGTCCACCTTCACACCAAGGAGGGTGATGGTGGTTGTCTCGGGCACCAGTGTGCCCCCAAACAGGGGTGGGGGGGGGGGGGGGGAGATCTAAGCCGGGTCGTCTGAGGGTGGCTGTCATGGCCTGGGATTTGGTCGGTTCAAACATCACTTTCCATGTACGACCCCACTCGTGCAGTCGGTCAACGGACACCTGCAGTGACTGCGCGGCGACTGTTGGGGCCTGATGGGAGGTGACTAAGCTGTACAAAGTTGTATCATCAGCATAGGCTTCCAAGCTGGCGCCGTCAGCGAGAACACCTGGCGCGTCGTTGACGTAGGCCAGGAAAAGCGTTGGTCCAAGAATGCTTCCCTGGAGGACTCCAGCGGAGGTCATATACCTAGATGACGTCCGCCCTCCAACGAGGCACTGTAGGGAACGGGTGTCCAGGTACGAGGACAGCCATCTCTGAAGCGGACCACCTATGCCTAGGCTACGCACCTTGTGGAGGAGGCCGACATGCGAGACACGATCAAACGCTCCCGCGATGTCCACAGCAAGGATACGAGCCGCCCCTCCACAGCCCGCAGCGCTTGCCCAGGCAGTTTGGAGAGCTTGCAAAGCGTCCGATGTTCCGAGGCCTCCGCGAAATCCAAACTGGTGCGACGTGAGTAGATGATGGTCTTCAAAATAGTTTTTGATGTGGCTGTTTACAAGAGTTTCCATAACTTCAAGATTATGCACAGTAAGGATACGGGCCTGTAGTTCTTAAGGGTTGAGCGGGAAGATCGCTTGTGGATCGGAACCTCGTTGGCCGTCTTCCACATCCTAGGTTGCACTCCAGACCGGAAGCATAAAGCAAATAACTTGGACAGTGGACAGTACTCCGCACATGCACACAGCACTCACAACGGCGGACTCTGACAGTAGTGTAAATAAAAGGACTGATACTTGGAAATGAATTAGTTAGGTAAGGATATAGAAAACAACAACTCAATCTTGGGAGAGCTAATCAACAAGGAGAAATAAAACCGGAACTCCACGGAACCGGCGGGGGCGGGACAAGGCGACATGGAGAAGCCCGGCTGACGTGTGCGAGTACGCACACGGCGCGGTCAATCGGGCTTCGGCCAGCAAGCGTGGGGACGCTAACCCGCTTTGCAGCAAGCGCAGCATGGAAATAAGGCAGAAGGCAAAAGCAATGCGCATGCTCGCAATAATGACGCGTAGCTGATAGGGCATGACGTCAACACAACTCGTGAAAATGCCCACGCAAAAATGTGTTCGAAAAGTAACCGTGAGCTACGATGCGGGAAACGATCTCTGCAATCTGGCGGACAATGAAACAATTCGAAACTAGACAAGTTGACAGTCAGTGAGTCAGAGAAGAAAGGAAACATGATAATAGCAAGAGAAGAAAGGAACAGAGCAGGCGCGGAGAATGCAGAGTATGGATAACAGAACAGAACGGTAAGCAAAGTCTCAAAACGAAGAACACGACGTACAAATTCAAAATCTATAACTTGAAGCAATAAATAAACGTGCAGTATGGTATCAAATACTTGTGGAGAGAGAGGCGAACTATTCTACTTCACCTCTCCCCCTGATACCATAGTCATAGTCATACTCACTCACGGTAACGTGCTGGCGCCTGGAGCTGGCCACGAGGTCGTAGCGCATATCCGCCAGTTGGAGCAACATCAATGGTGACACCAATACCATTGTCATCTTCCTCGTCACTATTCAGGCTAGCCTCTGTGGCAGCTACATCAGCAGCATCGGGAAGATCCTTCTTCAACAAGGCAACGTTGATAACCTTCTCGGACACTCGGCGGTTGTCCGAACCTGGCTTTTCAATCACCACAGTCATTGGACTTACGATTGCTTTCACTTTCCAGCCACGCTCATAGGGCGCAAGGCGCTTCTGATGGCGATCTGGGCGCTGCAACATCACGTGATCACCAACAGCATAGGGACAGTGTGACTCTTCTTCGGCGAAGTCGCTCGCCGAGAGCTCAGCATCGATCAGATCACGTGTCGCGAATCGCGAGAATAATCTAATCAACTCCTTATTTGCTCATCGTGCGCCTAAATCTGCTATGCGTACTGTATTGTTGTACGCTGTATTTTCTCTTCGGGGTGCTAGTGCCGAATTGGGCCAGCACCGTACTCACCTTTTTCCTGTAGTATTCATATTTGGTTTCAGTGTGCTCGTAATGGTGTTGCTGCTGTTTTCCCCCGAAACAAAGAGCTCTTTCCGGTTGGTGAAAGAGCTGCCGAATTTCTTCTTATCATCGACTTCATTACTTGAAATGATCTTACTC